TGACCCATCTAACCCGAGGTGGCTGCTTACAATGTGGTCCCCGAGGAGGTCCAAGAGTATCTTCGATGCTCGTGTCGCCACATTCAAGAGTAAGGAGGCTATCTTTCCTATCGAGGTCTCCAAGTATGTCGGGATGCCACACTCCAAGCTCGCTACCACAGCCTGGGGGCATCTTATGGTGGTAGGTTTCTGAATTGAATTCTTTGTTCCTTGCATTTCTTCTTGTCTTGCTAATCGACATGATTGTTCTCGCAGACAAAATCAATGATCCACTCGCTGGTGGAACAATCTGATCGCTAGATGGAGTTGTTACAGATTTTCGAATCGAAGGCAAAAAGCTCAGAAGCCAAGTTGTAGTCCACCGAGTCTAAGGTGACAGAGAAACAGGCCAAGATGTTAAAAGTTGTGGACTTAGCGAAGAAATGGGAGGCCGAAGAGAAGCAGAAGGACGAGCACATCTACGAGCTGGAAAAAGAAGTCGAAGAACATAGATCTCTCCTTGCTGAATGCATGGCCATCTTCATCGAAGAGTTAAAGGAGGTCGGTGCTCATGCAGTTCGGGCCTATAAGGCTTCTTCAGAGTTCAATGATTTCATAAGCGAGACAGCGACCTCGGCGTTCCACAAGGGCTTCAAAGTTTGTTGCTAGCTGGCCAGACGTGCCTTCCCTCAGTCTAACTTCAAACCATTAACTACCATAGGGCTTTTCCATGGAAACGGTGGAGCAAGCAGAGGGGGAAGACCCAGAATCCGAAGAGGATAGCGAGGACATCGCTAACGAAGAAGCTAGAGAGAAGTCGGGGAACATTGACGTAGCAGGCGACGAGGTCATGGAGACCGATGAGGTTACTGCTACGAGCACATCCATGGAAGTGGACCCGGTGAAAGATCCTGAGAACATCGATGGAGGGGGCGAGGAGCCCCACCACAACTAAAATCTGCCTCTTTTCTTGGACCTCCCTGTATATACAGCATATACCAAGCCTCCAAGCTCGGTAGTATTTCTTTCTCTCCTTTTCTATTTTTCTTTTTTTTTTTTAATGTACTTCAAACTCTTTTGCATCAATACAATCTTGTTGAAAGCTTTGATCGTGCAAATTTTTCTAAGTGTGGATTACCCCGAAGTGCTGAACTGACGAGCTAGGCACGAGTAGGAATAAACCGATCTCAATGTACGCCGAAGTAAGCAAACGCTGTAGGGTATGTGCCCGACCTACCTGTGAACATGCTACTTTTACGTTTGCCTATGACGAAGCGACTAAGTCTTAGGTTTCCCATGCCGAAGAGGCGACTAGGACTTATTTGCCCATGCTGAAGAGGCAACTAGGACTTATCTTGTCTCGAGGCCTTTTGTCAGCTCGACACCATGGCTCTTAGGCTCTGGGAGTGACTCATAGTCCTCTCTCCAGCCCAGTGTCCTTTTGACCAACTTAGTGGTCTTGTGGACTTAGTGAAATTTTGGGAATGTTGGAGTTGCGAGCTCATAGATAATACCTCCTCACATTGTCAATGTTCCAGGCTCGGAGTACCTGCCTCCCTTCCATAGTCTCTAGCTTGTATGTGCCTTCCCCGAATACTCGTCTCACCCTGTACGGACCCTCTCAATTCGGACCGAGCTTACCTATGCCAAGCTTAGGTGTCATCACTTTACGGAGGACCAGGTCTCCAACTCGAAACTACCATCTCTTGACTTGGGCATTATAGTACCGAGCCACCCGCTGTTGGCATGCCGCAGTTCGAATATAAGCCAGGTCAAGTACTTCCTCAATAAAGTCCAAGTTAGTTCAGAGTTCATCGTTATTCACCTCCTCGTTGTACGCTTCAAGCCGCAATGTCGGTACTTCGATCTCTGTAGGGATCATGGCCTCCGTTCCATATGTCAGGTTGAAGGGCGTTTCACCGGTTATAATTTTAACAGTCATCCTGTAAGCCCAAAGGACACTAGGCAACTCATCCACCCACAACCCCTTAGCTCACACTAAGCGAGCTTTCAATTTGTGGAGGATAGCCCTATTTGTCACTTCAGCTTGTCCGTTTGCCTACGGGTGTGCTACCGAAGTGAATCTCTACTGAATCCCCATGTTGGCACACTGGTTCTAGAACTTGATATCTTCAAACTACTTCCCGTTGTCCGAGATCAACACCTTGGGTAGTCCGAAATGACACACTATGTTTTTCCAAAAGAAGTTTTGCACGTTCTGAGTTGTAATTGTCACCAGCGGCTCAGCTTCCACCCACTTCGTGAAATAGTCCACCACCACAACCAAAAATCTTCTTTGTCCGGTTGCCAGTGGGAATGGTCAAAGGATATCAATCCCCCACTACGTAAAGGTTCACGGGCTAGTCAGGTACTTTAGATCGGTGGCAGGTTGATGGAGGATCTTAGCGTGTCTCTGACAGCTGTCACATTTCTTGACGAGCTCGAGTGCATCTGCCTTCATGGTGGGCCAATAGTACCCTTATCTTAGTGCCTTTTGGGCTAACGCTCTAGCCCCCAAGTGTCCTCCGCATAATCCTTCATGGATGTCACGAAGTACCAATTCTGCTTCTGATGGCTGCAAGCAACGTAGGTAGGGGAGTGTAAAGGACCTCCTGTATAGTCGCCCGTCAATAAGGACGTACCGAGCTGACTGACGCTCTACCTCCGAGATGTGTTAAGTTCTGGTGGTAGGGTATCGTGGAGCAGATAATTAACGAGTGGGTCGATCCAGCTCGGTTTTACTTGCAACATAGGAGCGACCTCATCTGCCCCCCCTAAGAATGCTAGGCCGAGGCAGGTCTTCTATGTACACTATCCACACCGTATTGTCACCGATGCTCGCCAACCGCGACAGGGCATCGGTCTCAATGTTCTTGGACCTCGGTATTTGCCTGATAAACCAGGAATGGAAGCAGGGCAAGAGTTCCCTTACCTTTGCCAGGTAAGCCACCATAGTAGAATCTCGAGCTCCGTAGTCGCCGTTAACTTGCTTTGCTACTAACTAAGAATCGCTGCACATTACGAGGTGCCTTATGCCCAATTTCCTTTGCTAGACTGAGCCCGACAATCAATGACTTGTACTCCGCCTCGTTGTTCGATGCCTCGAATTCGAATTGGAGAGCATACTCCAGCTTCACCTCACTTGACCCATATAGTATTAGTCCAACACCACTTCCTCGCTGGTTAGACGAGCTGTCAACGTGGAGGATTCAGGGCTCCTCGTCCCAGATCGGTCCTACCCTGACCGGGACCAGTGCCGCGCTAGTTGACTCCTCGAACTTGTTAGCGGGCTTAATCAGTTCAGGGGTTGGCGTGCTAAATGTACATTCTGCTACAAAGTCCGCCAAAACTTGGGCCTTGATCGCTGGTCGTGGCTCGAACCGGATGTCATACTCGCTCAGCTCGATGGCCCACTTCATCAACCTACCGAACACCTCGGGCTTGAGCAAAACATGCTTCAAAGGTTTGTTGGTAAGGCGACGATGGTGTGGGCTTGGAAGTATATGTGTAGTTTCCGAGTTGGTACTACTAGCGCGTACACTAATTTCTCGATGTTGGGGTATCTGATTTCCGCAGGCTACAAAACTTTGCTTACGTAGTAGACAGGTCATTGGACTCGGACTACTTCTCTAATTAGTACTGAGCTGACTACCTCGTCACTCGCCGAGAGGTACAACTTCAGCTCGTTGCCTTCCTCAAGTTGAGTCAAAACCGGTGCGGTACTTAAATATTTTTTCATCTCGTCAAACGTGAGTTGGCATTCTTCAGTCCACACAAAGTCTTCATTCTTTTTAATTACCTTAAAAAAGAGTAGGCACCGACCCGCCGATTTAGACATAAACTAGTTTAGGGCAGTTACCAAGCTAGTTAGCCTTTGTACTTCCTTTATCTTTTGGGGCAGTCTCATATCTAATATGGCCTTGATTTTGTTTGGGTTGGCCTCGATTCCACGCCGGTTCACTATATAGCCGAGGAACTTGCCCAACATGACCCCAAACACACTTGTTCGGGTTGGGCTTCATGTTATATTTTCTTAAAATTTGAAAAACACAATTTAGATCATTAATTAAAGAACTCGAAAAATTGGGTTTTCACGACCATGTCATCAACATAACACTCTACTTTATTTCCAATAAGAGGTTCAAAAAGCTTGTTTACAAGTCACTGGAAAGTTGCTCCAGCATTTTTTAACCCAAAGGGCATTACTTTATAACAATATAGCCCAAGTTCGGTTACAAATGCAGTTTTCTCTTGGTCAACTACGTCCATCCTAATCTGGTTGTAGCTGGAGTAAGCGTCCATGAAGCTTAGCAACTCGTGCCCCAAGGTCGTGTCTACCAGGCGGTCAATTCTAGGGAGAGAAAAGCAGTCTTTCGGGCAAGCTCTATTGAGATCGGTGTAGTCGACGCACATGCGCCACATTCCATTGGCCTTCTTCACCAGCACAGGGTTGGCTACCCAACTCGGGTATTAGACCTCCTTAACAAAGTATACTGCGAGGAGCTTCCCGACCTCCTTGTTAACTACCCTCTACCACTCTAGGGTGAGGTTCCGTTTTCTTTGTCTAACTAGCCTTACTGAGGGGTCCACATTAAGTCTATGAGTAATTATTCTAGGGTCAATATCAGGCATTTCTGTAGTGGACTAGGCAAAAACATCTAAATTATCAAGTAGAAAGCTTACCAACTGCAATCTGAGGGGATTGCTAAGCAGTGCGCTGATCTGGAGGGTCTTCGCCGGATCATCTTCGGAGACTCGAGTATGGGTGGTTTCCTTCACTGGGGCAGCTCACTTCTCTGTATGTTCGGGTGGAGGCTCTAGTTCAACATCGTCTGCCAACTTCACCTTGCCCTTCAACGCGACCACGTAGCACTTATGCGATTCCAGCTGGTCACCTCGTACAACCCCTACTCCGCAGTTTGTCGGGAATTTCATCGCCAGATAGTAGGTGGACATGACTGCATGAAGGGTGTGCAGAATGGGCCGACCTAAAATCGTGTTGTAGGGGGATAGAGTTGCGACTACAAGGAAGGTGTGCTCGAGCGTGCGAGGTTGGGCCATGTTCCCGCTGCAACTGGCACCATTATTCGTCCAAGGGGCCTAACTACTTTGCCGCTGAATCCTACCAGAGGTGAGTTTGCTGGCTGCATATCACTTTGTTGTAATTGTAGCTTCTCGAAAGCTTCCAGAAAAAGGATATACGTAGAACTCCCTAAGTACACCAATATCTTCTTTACTTTGAAATCGTTGATTACTAGCTTGACAACGAGGGCATCATCGTGCGGATACTGTATCCCACGAGCGCCATCCTCGGTGAAATAGATGGGCTCTTCGATCCGAGGCCTCTTCGGTGGGTTTCTTGCTTCATGCTCAAGCTCCCGAACTGAGCTGTTTCTTCTGCTCGACTCCGGAGCATTTCTTCTTTGGTCGGCTTGAAGATCTCCCAACTCCCTACCATCCCGCTGGATGTACTGCTTCAAATAGCCGCGGCGGATCAACTCCTTAATCTCGTCGCATAGGTTCCAACAATTCTTAGTGGTGTGCCCGAAGTCATGATGGAAGTGATAGTAGATGTTCGGGTTTCTAGTTGTCGGATCTCCCCACATCTTGGGTGGCCACTTGAGGTAACTGCCATCCTTTATTGACATCATTATCTCACCTCGCTTCGCGTTGAGGGGAGTGTAGGAGGACCTTTCAATGGGGGCTGTCCTAAATTGCTGACCTGATCTAGAACCCCAAGATGGAGACTTACTCTTCTTTCTTGGAGACCTACTTCTCCTTGGTGACTTTCTCTTCCTTCACCAATGCTTACTACTGCTAGCTTCTTCGTCTTCCCTTTTTCTCTTTTCTCCTTGTGGGGCCTCAACCTTGGGGTTAAGTGCCTCCTTAGTCTTCATAAAGTTTTCAGCGTCAGAGAGAAATTTCTTGATGGTCTTCAATGGATAAACACCGAGCTGCTAGCTTCTTTGTCTTCCCTTTTTCTCTTTTCTCCTTGCGGGGCCTCAACCTTGGGGTTAAGTGCCTCCTTGGTCTTCATAAAGTTTTCAGCATTGGAGAGAAATTTCTTGATGGTCTTCAACGGATAAACACCGAGGTGCCATGCGAACTCTTTGTGCTTGACTCCCTTTATCGCCACAGTGATCCAGACAGCTGGTTTGAGGTCTGGTATTTGTAAGCGTTCGACGCGGAAGCGTGCAATAAAACTTCGGTTGGTCTCATTCTCCCTCTACACCACGTTCAGAATGCTCACTTGGGACTTCGAGCACTTCTTACAAGTGATGAATTGGGCATTGAAGCGATCGACGAACTGGGCCCAACTAGTAATTGAGCCCGACGCTAAACTCCTGTACCACGTTTTGGATACCCCTCTAAAAGTAGTAGAAAAGGCGACGTACATGCTCACCTCGTCTGCCCCAGCGATGAGCATCTGAGACTGGAATGCATCGACGTGATCATTGGGGTCATACTTCCTATCGTAGGTCTCCAAAGTTGGGACCTTGAAGTCCTTTGGTCTTGGGGCTGCAAGGATGTCTGACGACAAGGGGGAGGGCCGGCTATGTAGCTATGGAGCTCACTTCCTCCCGCACTCTACTCTGCTCCAATGGCTGACTGTTCCTAGGTGTCGGGCTGTTTCTAGGGGATTGTCGACGTGACTTGCGGTGACGCCGCTTCTTTGTTGCTTCCACGTTGGTGCTGCTTACCTCCGTGTTGTCTTGGACTTCGATCCTCATTCGCTCATGTTCTTGGAAGCTATCGCAAGGTGGGAGAGGGTTCCGACTTCCCGCTTCTTCCCAGTCACAAACTTGCTGATGGCTGTTGTGGGGCTTAGAGGGGACTTGGCGTGAGCTCGTGCCTCTAGCCCCGAGCTGTTGTTGGTTACTTACTTGGGGCTCGTGGTTCTCTCTCCGCAAATGCTGCTACTGATCGGTCCATGTTCGGTGACTGACCTCAGGCCGCTCGTTCTGGTTTTTACCCCCTTGAGGGGGAGGGGGTGTACGCCAACCCTCAGTCCTGTCACAAGGTGGGGTCTGGTTCTGGAGAGGAACTGGAACCTGGGGATTTCTCACACCCCGGGGAGGAGACCGACGCGCATTCTGCTGTTGATTCGAATTCCTATTCAGATTCAGGTTCTGAGATTGATGCTAGTGCTAATGTTGTTGGTGTTGCAACGATGGGAATTGTTGTTGGTCCTGCTGGTAGAAATAGTACTATTGAAGCTGTTGGAACTGGTGCATTTGATTCATCTGTAGTTGTATGGTTTGGACGCTCTGGACTAGTTCGTCGAACTGCTGGCGCCCGAATCCAAGGGGGACCACAGAGGGCTCTAGCACAGAGAAAGTGGTGCTCACCTAAGGTAGTGAGACGTTCAACTGCTGTGTACCGTAATAAGTCGGCTGAGGAGAGATCCCCGAAGTAGTAAGAGGGATAGTAAACTGGCCGATGCAGACCAAAGGGAACTCCTAGTTGGTTGTGCTCTGATCTTGTCCTCCAAAGGCGGTCACGTCAGCACTCTTTCTAGTATTGCTTGAAGAAGCCATTAAATAGGAAATAATTGAGAGGTAAAGAACTTTAGCTTTTCGAATGTTTCCCACATACGGCACCAATTTATCGTGTGCGATCTGGGTGCTCCTAGCTATAAGGCAGCTCAGACATCGGTCACCAAGTCAATCGCCCAAACTGCAAGAAAGAGGGATCAGAGAACCCAGGGTGGCTAACCCGGCGAGGTCGCTCCGATGCTTAAGTCAGTTCTCAGTAGGTAAATGCAAGCTGAAAATCAATAAAGTAGAGAGCTAGAATGCACTTAATTGCACGTACCTTTCGCTATGGGTTGAGTGTCCTTATATAGTTGAGTTGCCATGAGCCCCAAGGATCCTTCCCCGGGATCTTTGGACCGGGTTGTAGGAGTCCGTTCCGCTCCAGAAGGTGGATAACGTGCCGACTAGTTAAGGCTTATCGTGTCCATCTGATTCGGATAAGGCCTATGGTTCCGCGTCATGATCCCAGAGAGCTCGGAGACAACTAGCGATCTTCTAGAACCTGCTATGTGTCACTTTGTTAGCCTCATCCATCTGAGGTCCCGGAGTTCGACGCTACCCGAGGTGACTCAGCTTATATGAGGTGACCCGATTTTCCGAGGTGACCATAGTGCTGAGTAATTGTCTAGTTGGTGGGCTACATCCACGTGTCCTGCCAAATCACCCCTCATCAAACACCGTCTTAGTTCAGGTTTTCTTTTTTTCTTTTTTTCACTTACCATGCATTTCCATTACTTAAATTCCTTGACCAATCATATGTGTCATTTGTTAGTGGGTCATTTAATTTATTTACAGCTTCAGCTTTTTAGTTACATTAATCACTCTCATATCCCTTTAATACAACGTTTGATTATCTTGATTTATCTTTGAGTTTCTATAATTAATTTTTAATCTTTCTTGGTGCTTTTATTTATATATCTTTGTGTTTCAATAATCTTTCTTGCCTAGTTGTTAAATTGAATAGTTAAAGTTTGTGCGGCGTGCTTAACACCTTCCCACATTGTACTTCGCTCCCTAAACCCTAAGAATCTCTATTCCCCAGGCTATGAGTCATTATGAAAACCACTATTTTTCTTACAAAATCCTGGATTTTCCTAAATTTCAAATTCCCAAAAATTTAAGTGATGACTTTGTCTCCCTTTGGTTCAGATAATTACACCTTGTGTTTTTGATACTTTGAACTTTGGTTCCATGAATACGAGATGGTTTAGACTGTATACCCTTCCTGAATACGGGGTCACCTTCTTAGACTTTTTATAGTAGGTCTAGGTTCACTTTAAGTTGCTCAGTATTTGTGATCTCATTGGACTACTTGGTCTGACAAGGTCAATAATCCAATCTCCATAGCTATCACAACTTCAGCCTCGAATGTTAAGTTGAAAGGCGTTTCTTCTATTGCCAATCTAGGGGTTATCTGATATACCCATAAGTTAACAATACAGTTCCTTTGCCCATGCTACGACTAAACCCCCCTGAGTTATGCGTACAGGGCATATGCATCTGTATGTGCCCGTATCATATTGTATATGCACCGATATGGGACGAAAGATACAGACATGATTTGCATTTACACTTGTGCATCTATATGTAAAAAATGCTTCTAACGTGATTTAAACCCAATTCTCCCATCACACAAGCCTTAAACACACTCTTATAAACCACTAAGCCAACCTTCATCTTACGATGATAAAGGAAATAAAAATAACCTTTATCAATTAGTCTATATATAATCTAAACAAATAACATATATTTATGTTCAACAATTCCAACTGATTAAATAAAAAATAATATTCAAAATTAGTATTTTGTAAACTAATGGAATAAATTATTTCTCAAATCCAGATTTATATAAAAAAGTGGTTTTAAATCTCAAGAAATTTATACATATAAAAATATTAGTGATAGATTGATTATTTTATTACTTAAAATTTATAAATTTGAACATGATATGTATCTTAAAATCTTTATAAATTATTAATTAATATTTTAATTTGCAATGAATAACAACATATTTATTATTTACAAAAATGAAAATATTTTTTTTACAAAATACTAGAAAATATAATATAAATTGAATTTGTGTTCAAATCTACTAATCTACTTTTATATCAAAAATGTTTTTTTCATTTCATAAAATTTATAAAGATAAATTGAATTCATACCCGGAGTTTTGTAAATAAACTTAAATATACCTTGGGGGCTGTCTCCACTAGACTTAAGTGAACCCTTATTTCTTCTCCAGTATCATAAACTTGTTTTAATATTCTAAAAATCCTATTTTACCCTTTACAAATAATAATTTTTTTTAAATAATATTTTTATTTTGTTTCTGAATTTCTACAATTGGAACAATGTTTATAATATACGACACAGAGGAATCAACTTTGACTGGTGGGGGCAGTTTGTTCAAGTTATAGTGGTGAACCAATTCGAAATCATTAGGAATCCAATACCTGGCCACGGTACCACAATGAGTACCTTCAATTTCTGTTAAGCTCCTATTATGAATTGTACAGTGGTACAATATATAAATTCTGTGTGTTTCCTTCACCTCGCCAGAGTTCACTCTATGTATAGGGGAAAGGAAAAACAAAGTGATGAACATTATTTGGGTCTTTTATTTTTTATTTTTGCTATTTTTTTTGAAATTTAAGGTATGATGAAGGATAAAAATGTCTTTTTATAGCGACAAGTATATTTAAGTCTATTTAAAAAATATAGGGCATGTTTAAGAAAACTTAAGGTATAATTAAGTCTTTTACCCTGCATATATATTTTATATATTTTATGTTAAGATTATATATTTTTATAAATTATTAATTAATATTTTAATTATATTTTACAATAACATGTTTATTGTTTATAAAAGTAAAAATATTGTTTACCAAACATTTGAGAATTAATTTTTAGTAGATTATTTTGTTAATGATAAAAATTAAAAATAATAAAATGTAAAATAATTGATATAATAATTCACATATAATAGTTGCATATATTTTGTGCCTTGAACTTCAATAGAAAATAACACAATAATAGCTTTTTACATGTATTAATTTGTCAAAATATCTATAATATGTTATAGGACTCTTGATTGATACATTATCAATAAAGTTGTATGATTTCTGTGCATAATATATTTCTTCATAAATACCATTAGAATATAGTTTTATTATGTATTTATATACTAGTTATGGCTATTTTGATCTTAAATATAATGCTATTAAGATAATTATGAAATTTATATGCATTTCTTAGTCTATCCAAGCATCTTATTTCATCCCTATCCATGCGTTTCCAAAGTATACTTGTATACCAATAATATGATAGATACTAGATACTAATACTTTAATCATTGGAGATGATTGCATCAGAAGAAAAAATGTACAACACACCCTATGAATATGACATCCATCCATACATCTAAAAATTCTCCCAATGAATTTAGGGTTCCACTATGATATCGAAAAGATATGATATTGGAAAAACAACTAAACAATAAACTGAAATCACAAATGTGATAGCAAATAAAGTGTTATTTATAAAAATTCATGGGTGGGTTTTGATTGGTCAAAACTGTCTATATTTTTTGCATCATAGATTTTCCCCATAAATTTAACATAAAGTGAAGGAGATATTCCTAATTTATGGGGAATGCCTTGCTCTCAGCGCATGTGCACCAATTTTGCATTCACGTCTAGACCCGGATTCGACATATACCAATATAAGAGATATTCCCAATGTGTGGCTGAACTTTTTGCTTGCAGGTCCTCACAACACCATTCTCACACCATTCCCAAGGAAATGGGATCTGCTCCTCACAGAACACGCCTCACACCCACCTCACAGCCACATTTCACCCTGCATTGGAACATCTCTCCATGAATAATAAATACAAATAAAGGAGATGTTCCCGATTTGTGGCTAAAACAAGTTGTGAGGTCATCATGAGACGCACTATGTGAGGAGTAGATCCAAACTCCTGTTCCAACAATGAAACTGCATCTATTCCTCACACATCGCGCCTCACACTGACCTCACAGGTGTATCGGGAACATCTCCCTTCTCTACTTATATGTTGTTAATCAACTCTACTTATATGTTGTTAATCATGGGAGATGTTCCGGTTCCCACTGCACGGTGAAATGTGCCTGGGATGTCAGTGTGAGGCGCGTTCTGTGAGGAACAGATCCGGGTCGGCGAGCGGTGTGAACACGGTCGTGAGGACTGAATCCGATCTTGCAGAAGATCCGGGTTCATACTTCATACGGTAGGGCTCACACCATTTACTCGGTGTGATCGCTCTCACGTGATCATCATCCATAAATCTCATTATGATGCGAAGAGTACCCTCAACCTGGCGCAGAAACAGCGGTTTTGCAAAGGTAACGAAAGAGAGCGATGGAAAACGGTGGGAAAGCAAATGGTGGAGAAGAGAAGGAAAAGGTGGTGGAGAAGCTCTGCAGACGTTGCAAAGAAACGTTCAACCCTTCCTCTAACAACACATCTTCGTGCAGGTTTCACCCTTCATTCTTCGTTTCTCGAAGACATGACGATCAGAAGAGGTTCTCTCTCTGCCCCTGTCTTTGTTTCTCTCCATAGTTTGCACAATTATTTTGGTTTCCATCTTCAACCACTGGAATCTAGATATACTAGCCGATGGTAGTTGGCCCAAATAACAAATAGCATGGTCTTTCTTTTGTATGATTGATTATTTCTCATGTTTGGCCGATTTCTTTCTCTTTTGTTATTATCTTGCAATAGTAACTGATGGGTGTTGACCAACATGAACATCCTGGCTTTCGTTTGCATGATTGATGGCTAATTGTGGGCAATTTTCTAAATTTTGTGGCTTGAGTCAATAAAGCGAACAAACCAACATCTATTTCATGTGATAGCGTATATGCTTGAAGTTTTCCTTGATTTCGTTTGGAAATTAAAAGTAACCATGAACTGAGACATGCTTTGGTTCTGAGATCTAACTTTCCATAAAGAAAATTTTAGTGGAAATCCTTGCACTTTACCTTTATGAGGCATGATCCACAAAGCAGATGGTGTATTACAATATGATCCCATTATTATGATCTAAGTAGTTATTTTTATCGCACTAGTTGAAATTATAGCGAAATCCATAGAGTGCAAATTTATTCCTCAGGCTCAGTTTTGAAGGAGTACAAATACAAATACGTAGAGTACAAAACCTTGTATTTTATATTATTTTGTATCAATTTGTACTGTACGTATTTGTATTTGTACTCCTTCCAAAGTGAGCCTCAGGGTTTGCAGAGTCTGACACTATTGTCTAGAACTTGTTTTCTCATTATATACTGGGTCAGCATTATTTTGTCCATGTTCTATTATTTATAATTATTTTTTCGAGAAGTTTTTTTGGTGACCACCATCTGTATTCTACCGTATGCTTGCAGCCTTTTCTTCGTTCCTTTCTTTAGTCACTATTTTTTCAAGAAGGTTTTTTCTTTTTTTTTTTCGGTGGTCACCATCTTCATGCTACCGTATGCTTGCAGCCTTTTCTTCTTCCCTTCTTTAGTCACTTCGGGTACTTAGTAGTTCATTTACATGGATTAATGGATATCTGGTTAGAAGAATGGGCTTCACCGTATGATTTGAAAACCATTACCGGAGAGGAAAACTCCCTGTTCAACCTCTTCAAACTGATCAAGTAAATTACTAAAAACTAGTATGAGCATGCTAGTTCACCTGTGGGAAATGGATGACTTTTGTTTCATTGTTTCCTACTAAAACTAGTACTTTAATTAGGTAAGTTCCTAGTTGAACCATCCAAATTGTTTTATTTGTGGTTGGAATTAATTTTGGTTATAATAATCTAGTGGTAGTTTCCAAGTTGTGAACAACCTAAAGAACATTACTAGCACAGCTAATGTTTATTGCAGTATCTCTACTGATGTGATAAATAGATGCCTAGTAGATGAAAAAGCTCTGACTTGTTTCACGGTTCAGAAAACATGTGTGGGGATGATTTTCAATGTTATGCAGCTCAAGGCCTTGTTCTAGGCATTTTTGAGGCAAAGAAGAAGTATTCCAAGCGGGCATTTTAGCATGGGAGCTAGTGGGGAGCCTACTAGTGTCATTATACTAAGAACTTTCAAAAACCAAGGACCATCAATAAAGACCATATCTGGGATTCAAAGACATATTATGTAAGGTACTGTCCAAATGGCCATCTCTGATGCACCTCAAATACATATTACTTTCAAGAACTTAAATATTTTCATACACTTGACACAAGCCTTCAGAACCAGGTGGGGCAGAAGTGGCCATTTGAAAATTCTCAACAAAACCTTGAAATTTGGATTGTTGCAAAGTTCCATATCCAACCTACCAACTTATTATATGTCATTGTTTACGATACCTGCATTGGTGCCAAGCATTTTGGACACAGCTAAGAGAGATTTCTTATGGGAAGGATTTAAGGAAGGGGACCACAAATTCCATTTTGTATAATGGAACAAAGTATGTGGTCCAAAATCAAGAGGAGGGACAGGTCTAAGGAGCCTTCAGGTGATGAATAAGGCTCTGTTATCTAAATGCTGGTGGAGGTATGGTAATAAACAGGGGAAGCTTTGGAGGGAGGTAGTTGTGGAAAAGTTTGGTAGAGCCATAATGGGCTGTGAATCTCTTGACTCTTCCCAACCCTTTGGCTGGAGCCCTTGGAAAGGAATTCTAAAACTCAGGGATGGGTTTAGGAAATCCATTAGGCTAAATCCTGGTGCTGGTGATAGGATTCTATTTTGAGAAGATGTCTGGTGCGGGGACAGACCTTTGACACAGTCATTCCTTCTCTCTTTGCAATTTCTGCAAAAAAGGAAGCCTCCATTGCACAGAATTGTGAGCTGGTGGGGTCCCAGGTCGTGTGGTCTCCACTTTAGGTGCCACCTCAATGATTGGGAGGTTGGGGATCTGATTGAGTTGATGACCAGCTTGGCTAGAGTTTGCATTCCAGCCAGCCTAATGTGGGTGACAACAGGATTCAACCAGATCTTACTATAGCATGGTTAAGGGAGAAGGAAGGAGGGCCTTGGAGGCTAGCACACTTGTTGGCTGAAGCCAGAGATGTCTTGGACTCAATGAATGTAAAGCTGGTTTGGATTCCTAGGGAGTTGAACACTGTTGCTGATAGCCTAGCAAAGTTGGGGGCTTTTAGAGAAAATTTGTTTAGTGACAGTTATTTTCTCTGCTTCTGCCTCTTCAGGCTGCTGTACATCATCTCATGTACCCTTTTTCTTCTCCTTTTAATGAAAGTTAACTTCGCTAAAAAAATCATACTACAACCTCGTGATGGTGGAAGCTGTGAATCCTGTTCATTGGCAGTGGATCTGGAAAGCCCATGTCCCTTTGAAAATTTTATTTTTCTTGTGGTCTGCAATATTAGATAGAATCTTGACATGGACCGACTTAACCAAAGGGGTTTGGCTCTAGTCAATGTGTGTACCCTCTGTGCTGAAACAGAGGAAATGGGTCCACATCTGCTGGTTTGTTGCAGGTACTTCTTTCATTTGTGGACCCATTTTGTGAGGCTTTTTGAATTGCATTGGATGAGCCCACCTGAGATTCAGGGAATAATCTCAGCCTGGAAACTGGGTAGTTTATCCAAAAAAGGCACAGCTTATGACAGTTTGTTGGGTACTATGGAAAGAAAGAAACTTGCGAAATTTACTCATAAAAAAAAAAACAAAAAAAACTTGCGAAATTTTGAAGAAAAATCACTCCCAATGGAAGCTTTGATTAAGAAGATTGAACGACAAATAATGAGGTGGATGAGTAGTTTGAAGCTTTTTGTAGGGGTTGGTGGCGATTATTTCAGAAACCACTGGCATTACATAGGTTTTTGTCACTAACAATTTTTTTTTTTTTTTTGGTATGAAGTATACAGTGGCTATTGGCTAGTTATGTATCTTGTATATGCTTTTTTCACAGTGGTTGAGGTGAGGGATCCTCTCCCTCATTAGTAATAGAAGTTCTTTTTTGTTTTGTTTATCAAAAAAATAAAAAAATTATTCTGTTTAACCTTTAGGTTTAAACTGTAGATGGATAAGTGATGTTTGGACTTTTTTGTAAAAAGTTATGGAGGACTGAGAAATAGGAAGTTCAATATATCTAAACTGCAAATATTTACAATTCCATAAACCTAGGGTCTTGGGACTTGGGATTGGGAGGGGTGAACTGGATACAAACCTAACCTTCATAAACCTAGGGTCTTGGGACTTGGGATTGGGAGGGGTGAACTGGATACAAACCTAACCTTTGGGATTTTTTGCACATGTGTCCTTATTCAGACTTGAACCAACATTATCACAATCTCAGGCTCAGAATCAATGACAATAAATAGAAAATTCTGAAGTCTCTTCATTTCTTCTATGTCATTATTTTTCATGTTGGAATGATTTAGTTACCTCTCAGCTAGAAAGATCTCAAGAGATTTCCTTTTATTGATTCCAACTGAGGTTTTGAGTTAAGATAATAAACCCTTGGCTCAGATCCACTGACAATAAATAGCAAATACATTTTGAAGATCTACATTTACTACATATCATTGTTTTCCATTCTAGAATTAGTTTCTTCATGCTAGAGTGGAACTACAGGGATTTCCTTTTTATTTATTCCAACTAAGAGGTTTCATAAATTAGAAGAAATATCACTGATATTAAAGGGGCTTAGGATTTTTTTTTTTTTTTTTTTTATTAAATGGTAGCATTCATTGAAAAAAA